TATGAGAATATAATATACTTATTATAAGATTGCAAATGAACATCTTTCAAATGAACATGAAGTCAAACTAAAATGAACATTTATGATAAATTAAATTACTGACCAATATTCACCAAATAACATTTTTAATTAACAAAATAATAATATTAATTGATAATTGATGTTTAAATTCCATTAGTATAATTGATAATTGTATATAATTTAGTAAATATAATATAATTGATATTAATTTTACAAATGAGCATGATGAATCCTATTTAAATGTACTACAATATATTAAATTCACTTGCCAAAATTCATCGAATAATAAGTTTTATTAATGAAATAAGTAATATTAATTGATAATTGGTACTTCAATTCCATGAATCAAAATGATAATATGTCTTCAAAATTAGTAATTACAATTGAAAATTTGAATATTAATCTTTCCGCAAATGAACATGAAGTTCATCTAAAATGAACAGTTATGAAAAATTAGATTTATTAGTTGGAATTCATCGAATAACAGTTTAATTCACAAATAAGTAATTTTAAACTGATAATCGATGTTTCAATTCTAACAATCCAATATTCGAAGATAATAATGGAATTGCAATTAAGATTCTAGTGGTTTGAATATGAAAATTAATTTTTAAAACTTTTTTCTAAAAAAAAAACCCAAATTACCTCCAAATAACTAATCAATTGTCTGACTATTGTAGTAACATGACTCACATAATTTCTATATTAAAAAAATCAATCATAAAAATATAGAATCATAAAAGCACCTAATTTATATTAAATTCTATAAAATTCATCACAAAAATCACCAAAGAATAATAAACACAAGACATATATATATATATATATATATATATATATATATATATATATATATATAATAATAATAATAATAATAATAATAACGTTGTGTTTGTATTTTTTCTTTCAAAAAATGAATAAATTAAATTACAATTTGATTTTACGTCGTTCTTTTGGAGAAATCTCTTGTAATTGTACATCATCTCTTATATTAGACATTGTGCTTGATTTTTGTAGAGAATTTCTAGATTTTTAGTTAATGTTTTTGCAAGTGTTGAAGGTTTTGATAAGAGAGAAAATGGAGAGAGAAAAGTATTCTGATTTCTGGAGGAAAAAAAATTAACACTTCTAATTTATTTGGGGGATAGGAAGTTACTATAGCAGGTTTTATGTTTTAGTGGGGAAAGTGGGTGGTGGGGGTGTAGGTGTATATAATTATTGCCCCACCCCTGTAGTAGTGCAAAATACTATTACATTGTGAGCTATAACCTTAAGGGCTGGCAAGGAGGTTGCCCAAACATTAATTACAGTGAAGAAAAATAAGATGTGGTCATCCACATTGTATTGACTTATTGTATTAGACTTTTAACAAATAAAAAAAAAAAAAAAAAAAAAAACAATCCTTGTTAGGATTAATGGAACAAATACATAAATAAAATACTTTTCACTTTGTAGTTATTATTGTACAAATTTTTTTAAAAAATAAAACTCATAGAATTAAAAATTTCTCTTAACTAAAATTTGGCTTTCTTTGTAGTTATTATTGTCCTTGTATGGTCTCCCTATATGTATTGATGGGCAATTTTTTTATTAATATAAGTCATGCCATCCGTTTCCTAAAAAAAAAAAAATTCTCTTAACTAAAATTGTGCTTTCTTTGTAAAATTGCAAAATGGGGGATTTCTCAAAACAAAAATATAGAAGAGTTAGGACTCATAGGAGACTATGGAAGTTTGGGGCGTTTGGAATGTGGGAATGGAAGTTTGGGGATTAAAAGGTGGGAATGAGATTGGGAATTAGTTGTTGGGAATTCATGAAAATATACCAATACTGTTGTGTGACAGCGGAAGCAAAGATCGAAAACAATAAAGAAAACAACAAAGAAATTCAATGCAAACAATAAGAACAACACACCAAGAATTAACGTGGTTCACTATCAATGTGATAGCTATGTCCACGGGCACCGAGATCAAAAATTCCACTATAAACTGCAAAGAATTACAAAGATGAATCAAGTCTTTCTCAAGAATGGCTCTCTCTCTGTCTCTCTTAACCCTAGCACTAGTATCAGGAAGTTTTTATATTAATCCCCAATTAAAAGATACTTGGGCTTCAAAATAATAAAAGATAACTCTAAAAAACTGCAAAATCCGTATCTCTATCGCTTCCTCTTCCGCTCGGTCAGACCGGGCAAGGCATGCCCCATCAGGCACGAGAAGCAACATCCATACGAGACACTTTGCACTGCTTTCCTCTTTCGCCCGGTCAGACCGGGCAAGGCATGCTCGATCGGGCAGTGAGGATTGCAAGATCCTTTGCCACTCCTATCCTCTCCGCCCGGTCTGCCAGGGCAAAGCATGCCCGGTCGGGCAGAGGAAGGCTGCACTATAGTACGAGTCACCTAATCATCAACAATCTCCACCTTGACGAGAACTCGTAGTCAGCAAAACGATCCCATCAACACATAGTGAAAAACATCTCAAGCCTAACCCGATGCAAAGCTCATGCATAAGCCATACATCCCGATAAGTCTCCAACCAAGACCCATCACATACTCGTCTCTAAGTATAACAACTCGTAATGCTCCACCTGCATCACAAGCCCCGGGCAAGCTCCACCTTAAGGCCAACATGCCTACACCAGGAGCTCCCCAACACCGCTCCTAAGGGCCTACTACATCACATAGTAATCGATATTTAGCAAGTCCAAACAATGTTTAAACTTACTAAATGGAACAGGCTTAGTGAGGAAATCAGTCGGGTTGTCAGCAGTCCCAATCTTCTTCACCTTAATCCTCTTGTCAGTACGTAAGAAATGATACCTGACATCAATGTGCTTGGTCCGATCATGGTGTACTTGATCTCTAGCTAAGTAAATGGCACTTAGACTATCACAATACACCGTAGCAAAATCCTATGCAATACCTAGTTCACCTACAAGGCCTTTGAGCCAAATAGACTCCTGAGCTGTAGAAGTTAAAGCCATGTACTCAGCTTCAATAGTAGATAATGTGACCGAAGACTGCAATGTAGACTTCCAACTAACCACAGAACCACCCAAAGTGAACACATACCCTGTCACGGACCTCCTGGTATCCACATCAGCTGCATAATCAGAATCACTATACCCAGTCACCAAGCACTCCTTACCGTTCCCATACACAAGACCAATATCAGCTGTCCTTCTCAAATAGCGAAAAATCCTTTTCACCCCCTGCCAGTGTTCCCTTCCAGGTCGAGCCATAAGCCTGCTTACAACACTAACAACATGCGCAATATCCGGCCTAGTGCAGACCATAGCATACATCAAACAGCCAACTGCGTTGGCATATGGAACTCTAGACATATAAGACAACTCCTCCTCTATTTGAGGTGACATAAACAAAGACAACTTACAGCTTACAGTAGTTGGCGTACTTATAGGCTTTGATTTTTCCATCCCAAAATGAGACAAAATCTTTTCAATGTATTTCTGTGTCAAGAAAAGCTTACCTCTAGCTCGATCCCGGTAGATCTCTATACCCAAAATCTTCCTAGCTGCACTTAAGTCTTTCATGTCAAACTCAGAGTTAAGCATCTCCTTTAATCTACCAATATCAGATTTATTCTTTGTGGCAACCAGCATGTCATCAACATATAACAAAAGATAAATCATGGAACCATTATCCAGCTTACTATGATACACACAGCAATCATATGAATTCCTATCAAAACCATGCGAAACCATAAAAGAATCAAACCTCATGTACCACTGTCGGGGGGATTGCTTAAGTCCATACAATGACTTTAGCAAACTGCAGGCATAGTGTTCCTTTCCAGGAACCTTGAATCCCTCGGGCTGCTTCATCAAAATCTCCTCCTCCAAATCACCATGAAGGAAAGCCGTTTTAACATCCAGCTGCTCCAGCTCAAGATCAAAGTGTGCTACAATTGACAATAACACACGGATAGAAGTGTGTCAAACCACAGGTGAGAATATCTCCACAAAGTCAACCCCTTCTACCTGACTGAACCCCTTAGCAACTAGTCTAGCCTTAAAACGCACTTGCTCAGTTTCTGATAACCCTTCTTTCTTCTTGTAAATCCATTTATTCTTTTTAGACTTCCCGGACTTAACAAACAACCCACTACCATTATCCTCATTATCACCTATAGCTTTCTGACGAAGTTCCCTAGTATGAAGTGCTGTCTTCACTTCTTCTAAGGTTAGTGAGTCTTACAAACAACAAAGGACTCTACAAAATTCTAAAAGCTAGACGGTAGAGACACAAGTAAAATCAACGTAGCATCCTCATCATCAATTTTAACATCTAAGTTACGCAAATCAAGTAAAATAGAGTTAAGTTTTTCGATCTAGATGTTCCCGTAAGGGAGTACCTGACTGCATTCGGAGGCTAAACAACCGCTGCTTCAGTAATAATTTGTTGGTCAACGACTTAGTCATGTACAATGACTCCAGCTTCATCCACAATTCAGCCGCCGTTCCCTGATCAGCAACCTCCGTGATGATGTGATCATCAAGGCTAAGTAATATGGTAGAGTGAGCCTTCTCTTCCATAACTTCTAATTGCAAGTCAGTCAGTCCGTCTCCTGTAGTAGTACTCTTTGGAGCCAACGGACGCCATATCTGCTGTTGTTTTAACAGAGCCTTCATCTTAATTTGCCATAGCCCGAAACTATTTTTCCCGGTAAACTTCTCAATTCTTATTGTTTGCATTGAATTTCTTTGTTGTTTTCTTTATTGTTTTCGATCTTTGCTTCTGCTGTCGCACAACAAATACCTCGTTTGGATAGTGAGTTGAAATATATAGGGAATACTTAACAATTTTATAAATTTACCCTTACTAATATTTCCTTTCATTGTTTTCATTAATAGCAAAAATGTCATTTTAAACTTATTTCCATTCCTATCCATTTATTACCTACCTTCCCAAAGTAATAAAATGGTGGGAATTCTCCCCTAAAAGTTTCCATTTCCATTCCCAAATCTATTTTTATTCCCATTCCCATCAAACAAACAAACTTTTTTCTTGAATTGGGATTAAAACTCTCAATCCCACCCTCAATTCCCACATACCAAACACCCTAGGAGTTAGTCCCCTAATCCAAATTCGAGCTTACCCTTAATCCAAATTCGAGCTTACCCAAAATCCTCACTTCACAAAATTTATCTCATAACTTCATCTTCTTCCTCTAAACTTCCACCAATTTTATTCTTTCTTTCTCATAATTTTGAAAAAAAAAAACTTCAAATTAAGATAAATTTGCCATAAATAAAATTGAAATGTCAAAGAAAGGAGGTGGAGTAGGGCTTCAAAAGGATGCTCCTTGGAGGGCTTCTCAAGGGAAACCCATTCCCAAAATTCACCATTCCCCTGTTCTTCGCATTCCTCAAAATCCCTTTTCCAATTACGCTGTTTCCATTATGAGGGTATTATTTTGTTTCCTTTTCCCCTTATTTTTTCTGTGTTTTTTCTTTCATAATTTTTAATCAATGAATTTGGGATTAAATTTGGGTTATTGGGTTGTAATTTTGTTAGTTATTTATCTATTCTTTTTTTTTTCATGTAATTTGATTTTGCAGGACTCAAATCCAGTGGGAAATGGGTTAGCTGTAGATGCTGTATTGGAGTCTGCAGGACCAGATTGCATTGTTCCTGGTCAGGCTACACCTGTTAAATTGCTTGGTTTAAAGGTGTTTTTTCTGTTTTTTTACTTTTACTTTTAATTTTGTTTTGTTTTGATTAATTAACTTCTTATTTAATCAATTATTGATGTTTTACTGTTAACTTCTTTGATAAATGTACAAAATATATCAAGATTTTGCAATTCTATGTTCAACAATTATGACTGTGTATATCTTTATGTATTGGTTTTGTTACAAAATTACTAATCTATGTACGCTTCCTGTTTAATAAGGAAATAGATTGGGAGTTTTTCGTGCACAATATTAGAAAATAAGTTAGGCTTTTGTCTATTTGATATAGCTTTGTTATGGAATTCTTTTTGTTTTATGTACAATGTGTGGAGTTATGGGAAAATCTCTTTCCCTTGTTTGTTGTATAGTACTTTCTTCTTATATGGCGATGATTGATATCTTTAAGGTGTTATATGTGTCTCACTTTAGGCATTATTTGTGTCTCAATGGGTTGGTGTATTGATGACTTCGTGTATGCTTCGAATGGTTAAGTGATGATACCCATAAAGCTACGTCAAAAGGATCACCAAAATATCTTGAGGTTTTATGTAATTGGAGTAGTAATAAGGTAGCTTGATCTCCGAATAACATTTGCTTGGTATTTTCTACAGCCTCCGATAAGTGATTAGTAGGAGGATTACAAAAAGGTACACTTTTAGAGATCCCAGTCTCTGCGAGTTTGAGGAGAAAACACCTCTTAAGTTGAATGTAATTTGTTTGGGTTTTGAGATATGGAAATTGAATGTAAAGATTGAGAAGTGTAAAACATGCATAAAGTTGCATAATTTTTTATCCATGTGTGTCTTTGTAGTTTGTACAATGAATTTGACAAGCTAGTGTTTTTTCCTTTATAGCTACAGTGAACTGAAGTTTTTTTTTTTTTTTTTTTTTTGAGGAAACAGTGAACTGAAGTTAGAAAATGTTTTGACGCTATGTTTTTAAGGAAAGGTTGGATGCAGTTTCTGTCCACCACTAATTTTCTGTTGTTCAATTTATTTATTTCTGAGAAAAGTTAGCTTGTATCAAACAAAACAAAGCTGTACAACATACAGCCATTGATCCAGATGTGCTCAGGGAATCACAAAATTAGTTGAGGGAGATTAGTTTCCATGGATCCTGTTATACTTGGGGAATCACGAAATTAGTTGAGAGAGATTAAGTTTCTTATATATGTATCAATACTCCCTATTATCTGTCAACAATCAACACCAAGGCATAATACCATATTTAAGTATTCAACCCCCTGTAGCCAAGTCCAAATCTTGGAAAGAGTCCATGTGTCCTAATTTTTTGGAATTTCCATACCGGACGCTCGGATCCGTACCCATACTCGACACCCCTAGGCAAGTCCATGAAATGTTGATTTAATGTATTAATGAATCAATGATTATCTCTATAAAAGTCTACTGCTACCTATTTTGCTTCAAAATATCATCTTTCTGTAGTCTTGCATGTAACACATGTAACTGTCGTTACATGCGGTGTCAATCTAGCTGCTCTCATATTCCAAATTGTTGTTTAATTTTTTGCTTTACCTCACTGTCTTGTAACCATTGATTCCTAATAAGCTTGGAATAAGTCTGCATCCATTTCATAGCACCTTCTGTAGGCTTGTTTCAAAACAATTTTAAAATCGGTGCTTGAACTATTCCACATTGCTTGCAAGTCTGATATTCTATCAACTTATCAAGGCAACCATTCTTTCCATAGTAAATATATAACACGGTGAGCCAACAGATAAAATTTCCAGTTTCTGGCTCTGAAGGTCTGAAATAAAGGTGTGTACCTGTGTAGACTGTTTCTTTTATAGGATCTCTCGCATGCTTCTAGTCTTGGGAGGACCCATGTAGCTCTGTTGTATATTCTTTCTTCTCTAGCCCAAGCTTTCCATAATGACTCAAACCATTTTCTTTTTCCCGTACAATTTTTGCTTTGGAAGGCCTTGTTCCAAGCCAGCACTTCCTTAAGTCCTAGACCTCCTTCCTTCCTTGGCATAATTACATTGCTTCAGGCCACTTATCTTTCTCTGTTAGTCTCAAGTTCATTCTATAAGAATAACTAGCTAAAGCTTAAATATTCTAAACAATGGCAAGAATACTGCACCAGCAATGTTGAGTTCCACATAAAACCTAATGTATATCCCAAGCCTGTTCTGGTTGTAATGCTAGAAATTAAGCTTACTCTGTTTGCTCTCCTTTAGTTAGAAGGGCGTAAAGGGAACTCTTGATTTCCAGATGGGAAATATCCCCTGATTGAAGCCAGGAAGCTAACTGATTTCTGTCATGTCTTCATATTAATGTCCCCAGTAAACATCAAACTCCTAAAAACTATGCATGACATAAAATTTTGTCAACTAGCTTCCTTAAGTTTGCAGCTGAATATAATTTTTATCTTTACTATAAATTATCTACTCATTCTCAAATCTTGGATGGGCCAGCTTGAGTTCTTTACATCCTTGATGTAATGTAAACTCCTAGTTTTTTTTATTATTCTTTGAACTCTCTTGAGACAAACTCCATTACCAATACAAAGAGATAAGAAGTAAGGAGACTATGAGGCTCCCTACCTCAAGTCTTTTGCGCCTTGGATATAGAATTCCATTTTCCCTATGACTAATATTGAGAACTTGGCTGAGCTGAAACAAAGCATGTCACAAAACAGTTGGGGAAGTGAAGGCCTTGTATTTGTAGTACCTTTTAAAGAAATTCTTAGCTTATGGAACTGTAAGCTTTCAAATTCACTTTTAAGGGACACATTAGGGTGCTCTTCCAATTATAGATTTTCCAAGAGACATCTACTAGCTTTGACAAGCTGGCTTTCATTCATTCAGCGATAATTTTGTAATGGCTTGTTATTGATACTTGTAGCAGGAGAGGGGTCTGAAATCCTGTAGATGAGCAAGGTTCTTAAGTATCTGAAATCAGTCAAGTTGAATTGTTATCGACTTGATTACGGAGCTTCCTTCTTAAGAAATTCTTAATGGTTTCAGTGATTTTGCATTATGCCAGCACTTGTTGAACGTGTGATAAAAGGCTTCTTGATCTCCCTGTTTTTGACTGGTTTGATGAGTTATGCACTGATTCTTTGGTAGCAAGGATCTGTGGCACTTGCCTTCTTTTTGAATTTAGACTCCAAAGATCTTTGTGAAACGTCACTATGTCTTCCTATCTTCTGTTATCAGTGAACTTCTACCAGCATCATTTTTCAGCATATATTGATTGAGAGGTTATTCTTTGCTTAGCAGAAGTGTCAAAAAGGAGAAGCATTTATCTTCAAATCTTAGAGATTTGATATAAGCTTCTTGTCTGATAAGGTTGTTCCAAAGCCTCTGTTCAAGCTAAAAGCTTTTCTTGATGGACAGCAATAAATCTTACTTTGAGTTCATAGGGTTCAAACTAGAGATGTACACTTGTAATCTCGTAACTGAGTGGCATGGGGTTAAGTTCAAGGTTAGGACATATGTTGACTCTAATGGAATGGGTTCCAATGGATGGCAGTTCACAGATTGCAAGTTTTCCACAATAGCAGTTCATTATTATTTCCAAGTGTAAGTGCGAGAGTGTGTGTGTGGGGGGGGGGGGGGGGGAATGTGTTCCGTTTCAAGTCCTTTGACGTCTAATTGCATGTATGTGCTGCTTAACTTTATCTTCAGCCTCGTTCGTTTCATCTTCTTCTGCAATTCTGCTACTTATTGTTTTCTGAAATTTTCACGAGGTCTTTTCAAAAGATTTGCTTATTGGTGAGAGATTTGTCTTTTAACACCATCTCTCATATCTTTAGTAATTTGCTGCTAACGACCTGTTGCACTTCATCCCTATCGTGTGCTTCTAGATGGGGCGAAGTTGCTTTGTGCAGATTGTATTTTCTAGGTGTTCCCTTTTTTTCTTTTTTTTTTTTTTTTTTTTGATTTTTAAAATTTTTATTTCTAATATCTTAACCTTAACCTGTTGATTATAATGGTCTTTTTCTAGTTTTGCATATCATCCTCGCCCTTATATTTGCAATTTGCTCTGTGTTCAGGTGTGGCCTATAGAAGTTGATTTGAAATTCATGGAGCCAGTTGGGCGGGAACTCAAGAATATTGGGAAGGTAAAATACTGAATTATTATATATATGCCTTTGCTACTATTAAGTTTATTAAAGGCATAATTTGTCATGGAAAACATCTAGGTTGCTGTGTGTGATCAGATAACTAGTTCCCTATTCTATATCTTTGTGAGTTGAAAGTACTAAGTGGAGACTTGTAGTCAGGGATAGTGTACTCTAGGGAAAGTTGTTGTAGAATTGTTTCAAAGGTGAAACTATCTGGTTAGAGGTTTTGTTGTTAGTAGTGAGGATTAGCTGATTTCCTGGTTAGTTGGTGGTGACTTCCAATATGTTAGTTAGTTTAATGCATCCTCATGGAAAAATGATCTCAAATTCTGTGAGTCTGGAAGACTTTGCTTGTGGATTTATTTGGCCCTCATTTTACACTATGTTTGTTGCACCTCTATTCTTATGCCATGGATCGGAAGAAAATAGTGGGAGGTTATGTACAGCATGCCTATGTGGTTCTACTTGTAGTTGTTGAAGGGTTGACTGTAGTTTATAAGGCTTGTATTGCTGTTCCCCAAGGGTTAGACTCAAGAGTGCCCATGCATATGTAGTGTTGGTATGGTGACTACCCTCTTAAGAATATGATCTTTAGTTTAAAGTGGCATGAATAATTTGATTTGAAGATGTTGCTTCTTTCCACAATAAAAAAAAAATAAAAAAAAAATGTTGATCCAATTGGAAGGACCTTGGCCCAAAGTTTTAGATCTCAACACAGGAGTTGGAATTGAGTGTTCCTAAGGCCTGATTTTTCACTTTTATTGAAGATTGATCATGTTTCATTGCTGATAGATGCAAAGCAAACCATTCGCATATGATATATGCTCTATGCTGCAGAAGTTTCACTTCTTTATGCTACAAGAAAACTATACATCATATAACAGAGAAGGAATCATGTGCTCAGTCTTTGTAACCTTCATGTTTTTCTTCGAGATTTTCATCACCTTCTTTAGCTAGCCAGCTTCATTTGTCATATCTTCATGACCCCCCCCCCCTCCTAGTAGCCCAAGGTAACAATGCCACTTATTAGATTTTTCAGTTATTGTTGCAGTTAGAAACAAGCTAACAGCTTCTGTATGCAGTTTATGTTTTATTTCATGCTATTGCCTGAACTTCTATTGATGACTATGTATGCAGTTTATGGATTCTGCGGTGGATCTGATGAACAAGTCATTCATTGATCGTTAATGATTATTTAACATTGAGAAATAAGAATTATTGCGGAGGTCCTCATCTTATTGGCTGACTCTTGGTTGCTGGTACTGCATATTTTTTTTCAAGTAGATGAGCTGTGGGTTACAAAGCTGAAGATAATATAACCTGTCAGGTATACTTGAAGAGGCTATTGTTTCAATATGGAGTTACTTGTTTATCTGTTTATCTCTGTCATTTGTCAAGGAATTTTCTCAGCGTGATGTTACATAAATGTAATATGCTATTATTTGAATTACGATGGTGAAATTTTGTTGGTAAATATGTTCTGCCCTGAATCACTAGGCATCTTTAAATTACTCCATATTATCATTAAGCAATCACTTCCCCCCCAAACTATCGTAAGCTCCTTTTAAATATACCAAATGTTTTTGTTAAAGACAATGAGTTGCTGTATTGTTGATGTAAAATGTCTTGATTGGAATTTAAATGTTTGGTTAAGTAAGCTTCTTGTAGGCTGTTCCCATTCTTGGTTTATGGGTAGATTAAGCCGCGGAGTAATCAAATGGTTTTGGTGGTGTAAGGGTGCCTTAATTATGGTATGCGTGACTGCAGTTCTTGTCTTCGATTCTGACACAGGTCCTTGCAAAATGGGTTGGGTTCTAAGGGCAGAGCCTCTGATGCCCACCTTGTACATTTGAAAGTACTTGAGGGAGTGAGTTTTCTTCTTGTAAGGATGACCTCCCTTACTTTTGCTCCTAAGGGGTTATAGACTTGTAGTAACTATATGGGCATTGATAATCTATTTGGGTTACCTTTTTGGGTTGAATCGTAATGTTTGTTGACATCATGATATGATTGGCTTATATATGAGCTTTGGTCACGTTAGGCCAAAATGTTACTCTGTTTTTTTAACTTAATTTTGGGCAATGATCAAAGAAAAAGGGTAACCTGCTTTCCTGGCTTATTTTGGCAAATTGTGAGTGCCAGCTACGTTGACTATATTGCAAAGTAGTTTGGGTTAAGAAAAGTGTTTTTTTTTTATTTATTTTTTTTATTTTACTTTTTATCTAGGCGTTTGGTATGTGAGAATAGAGGTGTCAAAGCCACATCCGATTCGTAATCGACCTGAAAAATATCCGATTCAGATTTGGACTCGCGTAGACACAATATTTTAGCATGACTCAACTTTAAAATATGACTCGATCCGATCGGGCCTCATCAGACATGATCCGATCATCCAAATTGACACCTCTATGTGAGAACGAGATTTTAAAAAATATAGATTGGGATTAGGAATTGGAATTTGTAGTTGGAAATCTATAAAAATTAGACCGATTTATTATTTGGTAGTAAATGGTAATATGTGGAGAATATATTAAAAATTTACAAAATTATCCGTACTAAATTTCTCCTCTTACCCATTCATTAATGACATTTTAGGTATTTTCCACCTCTCAATCCTCATCCTCTAATAATACTTACCCCCCGGTAATATATTGTTGGGAATCGAGGGCATATATTCCCAACCTCTTTCCTGGTCTCTATTCTCAAACCCATGAAACAAAAATGTGAGTTCCTTCTACTTGCCTACTTGGCATTATAAGTGACATAATACCTATTTTTATAATTTGTACATTTAAAAAAATAAAAAAATTGGCTATTATACATGAATATAAATAAGAATTATACACCTTATACAAATTTTGTTATTTAAAAATTTAGATTTTCATCAAAATTATGATATAGTAATGTTTAACGTCGTCTAATACATTTTCAATGCAAGAGGTCATTTATTAGTGTGTTACTGTTTAAATTTGTTTCAATTTCTTAGGATAAATTTATAAGTTGTAGTTGTATTGTAGAATTCGAAGCTTCTAATATTCAAATTTCAAAAATGTTAAATATAGTAGCTCAAAAAAAATAAAAAATAAAATGATATCATCCTTGCATTTAGACGGCAAAATATTTATTAAAAGAGTGACATGTGAACACTGATAACGTCAACCTACTCTGTTTTAGTAATAGTTAATAGATTCTCGTCCTAAACTTTGACATACCAAACAACCCCCTCGATAGGATGAGCAATATTTGATTACGATGGTTGCTACTACAGTACGACCCACTGACCTTTTAATCTATAAAGGGGTATTTGGTCAAATTTACCCCTTTCTTTTTCCTCATTACATTATGTTGGTAGTGAGTTGGGTGACTACAAAGTACGCAGCATAGGCGGCTGCTAGAAAACAATTACGGGTTTTGGCGTCTACCATTGCTTGCTACAAAACCCTTTTATTTTGGTGAGATTCGTCCCATAATCATGTTTGAAAGTCAGAGAGTTAGCTATTTGCTCTAGCCTCTTATCTCAATTAGGGGTGTACAAAAATTGGCCCGGACCTGAAACCGGACCTGAACCGACCTGAACCGGACCGGACCTGACCCGGACCTGTTGATTCAGGTCCGGTCCCGGTTCTTAAAAATCCAGGTTCCCGGTCCCGGTCCGGACCCGGTCCAAACCCGGGGTTTTCAGGTCCGGACCTGAAACCCGGGAAATCGTAATTAAAAAAAAAAAAAAAAAAAAAAAATCTGATTCTCTCAGAGTCTCAGCCTCCCTCAATCTCTTTCAAATGTTTAAGTTCTAACCCTAACTCCTTAAGCCCAAACTCTCAGCCTCCCTCAATCTCAACTTCTCAACGCGGCTGTCCGGCTGTCCCAACTCGCTCCGGCCACCGCCCACTGCCGACACCTCCCTCATTCTCTCAGGCGATGCACACCGATAATATCTGGTAAGTATTTGCTTATAATTTTGGTATTTTTAATTCGAAATAATAAATTAAGTGTGAGAATTTATATGTTTATTCTTGTTTCAAATTTTCAATTGCTTTTAATGATTGTTTGATGTTTGCATGTTGAATTTCTTATTTTTAGTTCATCTCTTTCGAATTTCTGTTTTTTTTTTTTGGTTTTTTTGAGTTTAGGGTTCATAAGAATTAAGAAGTTTAGGGTTTAGGGTTCAAGTGCGAAATTTAGTTCGAAATTTTGTGTTTATTATGATTATTAAGATTAATTTAGTGCGAAAATTTGTGTGGTAGGGTGGGTTGGGGTGGGGTTATGGTGGGGTTACGGTGGTACGGTTCTGGTGTGTGGGGGTTAAGGGTTAAGGGGTGGCAGTGGGGTGGGGTGGGGTGGGTTGGGGTGGTGAGCTGGGGTTTTTGGGATGGCTGGATGGAAAATTGTGAATGTTGATGGGGTTGTCGGGAGTGGAGATGGGGTTTTCGTGGTGGCTGGTAGGGTCACCGAGAGTGGAGATGGGTTTTCGGGGTGGCTGGGTGGTGTTTTGGATTGGAGGGGGTTTTGGAGTGGTTGAAGAATTAATCAGGACTTGCAGAGTTGCAGGCTGGTGTATCCAAGAAAATGAGGAAGATAGGCTGTCCATGGTAAATGTCGTACAAATTTTGGAAGGAGTCACACAAGTGGCTAATCCTCCAATTCCAAGATATCTGCAACATGTTACAGAAATCCCGGAGGTTTCTACAGCTTACCATACATGCATTGTTGAGTGATAATCAACTCGTGATAAAATGGCAGAGAATTATGTTTACCTGAAATAATAGGCCATATCATGTTGCTAAGTACAAATTTGCAAAATTAGCCAGATTTCCCTTCTGATGTTTGCTTGAGCGTACTGCTGATATGCTGTAATAGCTTATGAATATTATGTACAAGACTCGAAATTGTAATATTCCTTTTTCAAATGCAGACCTCTCTTTTATTTGAGTGAAAGTTGCAGTTTGAGTTATCTACCATAGTAAAAACTTTATCATAAAGATGTACGAGTTGTGAGTACTGCTGTACTGTACTAGTTTAATTTTTATTGTGATTAATTAGACAAGTATATCGATAATCAACCCTATTAATCTGATGTTCTGTTTTAGGTGAAATTTTATTCGTGTAGGATTAAGTTAAGCTACACAAATTAACATATGACTAAAGCACGTATGTATAATTCCTTGTCTTGAATAGTGTGGATTTATGACTTGAACAAACATACTGTATGTATAATTCCTCCATTAATTTTCTACTGCAACATCTTTTTCCATGAATAATGTATCTAAATTTGAATATAGTAGTATGTTTTTTCTTGTTTTAAATGCAGTCGTTGAAATTTGCAAAGACTGAAATAGAGATTGGCTTGAGAATAAAAGCAAAGAAGCTACAAGGTAGCTGAAATGAAAAGGATGTATGTTAGAGAGAGACTTGATACAAAGACAAAATTATATTCAACTTAAGGTTGCAGAAACCAAACAATAATATCCTCCAATTTGAAAATTCTTCCTATTTAGCTGATCAAATTCTTATTTTTGTTTTTATTCTTGCAGGGAGTGAAGGAAGTCAAGGAACCACGGATTCTTATTCTTGCAATGTAAGTTGCTCTTAAATTTTTTTATAAAATGGTATGTGTATATAATTGTTACTTTAAAATTACTTATATTGTATATAATTATATTGTAGATGGAGAGCTCTCAATCCAAACGGTCTGCTTCTTTTTCTGAACAAACGTCACAGCCACTTTCTGAAAAGGATATGGAAGAATTGCAATCTACTTTGCCTCCTGATAAGAAGCTAAAAGCGGGGCGGGAATATATATGGAACAGAAAAAGTAAGAGGAAAGCTGAGTATTAGAAATATTACTTAGAGTACGTCGAGAATGGAAAACTACGAGCTGAATGTAAGTTCTGTCCTAAAACTTTTGCTGCTGATGGTAATCTTAATGGTTCAAAAAATGTTAAAAACCATGCAGAATCATGTCTCGGTAATCCTATTAATATAGAAAAAGAAAAGGGCAAAGAAAAGCAAACTAAATTGTATTTTGATCAAGAACATGAGAGTAGTGAATTAAAGTGTGGGAGTAGGATTATTAACTTGAATGATGTTAGAGAGGCATTGATTCACATGATTATTGTTGATGAGTTACCATTTAAGCATGTGGAAAAACCCGGTTTTAGGCACTTTGTGCAAGTTGCATGTCCACAATTTCACATTCCATCTCGTGTTACCATTGCTCGTGATTGTTTAAAGTTGTATTATAGTGAAAAAGAGAAATTGAGAGAAATGTTTAAGACATGTCAAAGAATTTCTGTGACCACTGATACTTGGACTTCAATACAAAGAATTAATTATATGTGTCTTACAGCTCATTTCATTGATAATGACTGGAAATTGAATAAAAAGATCATAAATTTTTGTCCAATTTCTAGTCATAAAGGAGAGGCTATTGGAAAAGCAGTTGAGGCATGTTTAGAGTATTGGGGTATTGATGATAAACTTTTTACTGTCACTGTTGATAATGCTTCTTCAAATGATGTTGCTTGTGCACACTTGAGTAGAATGGTTAGAAGAACAGGATGTATAAATGATGGAAAAAATCTTCATGTTAGATGCATTGCTCATATCATTAATTTAATTGTGTGGGATGGTATTAGAGAACATGGTGTGTGCATTGATAGAGTTAGAAATGCTGTGAAATATGTTAAGAATTCCCCTGCAAGAATACTTAGATTCAAAGATCTTGTGCAAAAAGCGAACATAGATTCAAAATCTTCTTTATCCTTTGATGTCCCCACTCGTTGGAACTCCACATACATAATGTTGGAAACGGCTTTGAAGTTTCGACGTGTTTTTAGTGGGTTATCTCTTCCTGATGGAGAGGATTTGAATGACAATGAAAGGCCTCCCGAACCCGAAGATTGGGAAAAAGTGGAGAGGTTGGTTTTGTTTCTAGGGGGGTTTTATCTGTTAACTAAACGAATTTCTGGTTCCCATTATGTGACAGCTAATAAAGGTTTAGGAGAAATTGCTTCTATGTATGATATGTTGAATAATTGGGAACAAAGTGAGGACTTGAATTTTCAAGCCATGGCCATTGCAATGAAAAAAAAGTTTGATAAGTATTGGGGGGATGTGGATAAGATGAATAAGTTCATTTATGTTGCTCTTCTTCTCGACCCTCACTCTAAGATGGTCATTGTTGAATTGACACTAACGGATATGCATGGACCGGAAAAGGGTACAAAACTTGCTAATGATGTGAAGGAGTTCGCTTACTCTTTATTTGAGGAATATAGAAAAATGTATGCTACTTCTAATATTCCAGATTGTGGAGATAATATGTCAATGGATATTGATAATAGTAAAGGAGTGGGTTCCGATTATGTGAGGAAACTAAAAGAAAGAGCAAAACGATTGAAGGGGACAAGTGGGTATGCGATAAGTGAGTTGGATAGGTACTTAAATGATCAATTAGGGCCGGAGGAGGAAGAACAAGATGCATTGACATGGTGGGGTAAGAATGGTCAGCGTTATGTGATTCTTAATCGCATGGCACGTGACATACTAGCCATCCCATTGTCGACCGTTGCATCGGAATCTGCTTTTAGTACGGGAGGTCGTACTCTAGATCCATTTCGGAGTTCTTTAACTCCTAAGGTAATGCATCGTTATCTTTTTATTTTATAAAATCAAGTTTGTTTATATCTTAATATGACTTTGTTTATACATATTTGTGTAATATTTTTGTATTGAAGATGGTTCAAGCGTTACTTTGCACACAAGATTGGCTTAGAGCTAAGGAAGTGCCAATTGTTGATGTGGAAGAAAATTTGAAAGAGTTAGAGGAAATAGAGAAAGGTTGTAATAATTTTATGTATTTGAAATTTTGTTACACCAAATTTATTATTTCATTGTTATCAATCATTAATATATTCTATATTGTATTTTATTTAGAGGTGCAACGTGGTGAATCTAACGATGTAGACGATGAAGTTGTTTTCGTGGACTCATTAGTGTGAATCACGCGATCAAAGGGAAAACAACTCGTTGGAGAATTTATGTATTCCTAGTACTTGAGAGTTGAGACTTAAGAGAATTTATGTAATTTTATGAGTTTTCGTGGACTTATTTGTATTTTCGGTGGACTCATTTGTATTTTTGGTGTTTGAGAATCGGGACTTTATAGACTTTATGTAGTTTTGTAATTGATAATTTTGGTTTGTATGTAATTATTAAATTATGCAACAGGTCTAAAAATCACAAAACAGGTCCATATGCAGGTCCATATGCAGGTCCAACAGGTTTTGTATTAAAAAAAAAAAAAAACGAAAAAGACACAAAACAGGTCCATTCAGGTCCAAACCCGGTCCTCATAATTACCCAATTCAGGTCCCCGGTCCAAACAGGTCCGGTCCAGGTCCGGTCCGGTTTTGGACCGGTGTACACCCCTAATCTCAATTAGTCCCAATTAACATCATGGGCTGAATTAACAATTATAATTCAACATGAAAAATTTAAAGCGATAATATATTAGGGAAGCACAATGACTACTAACATTGTTGAATATTTTTGGATAGGCAATGATCTTGGAATTCCAATCTCTAATAACACAATTTCTTAATAACACAATTTCACAAGCAATGCCCTAGCTAGCTCATCAAATCTATCCATTTCAGATAATTTCTTAATAAAGAAATGACGGAAGCACATAAGATCAGATTTCGTAGATTCGGTATTAGCTCTTCAAATCGCCAGTGGCTCGTCATTCATTGAATATTATCCTAAGCTATCTTATCTCAATTTTATAATTTCTTACACTTTCATATCATATGTTAGTATTAAACAATATGGTTTAAAGTATCAAGTGGACTACCAAATATACGCAATCTTTAAAGAGCTGTGGAGCTTACATCACTTAATTAAGTACCTAAGTACACGAAAAATTCGCTAATTAACATTATATTACACAAAATCAATAGCCAAAAGCGACAATGGATGATGCAAAAAGGAAGCTAATCTAATAATGTTTATGTACTAGTCCATGTCCAAAAGATGACATACTAGATAATTAATGTATGATTATCACCATGAGTTCAATTTGAGCCAATTGGGTACCTTTTTATTTATGTATTCATATTAATTTGGGTGTTAACCCACCTATAATTGTTGCCAGGTAAGATTACCGAGTCTTAATAACTCTTTTGTGATATTCTTTGCCATTATCTCGTATGTATAAATAGCGAAACTAGCTCCTAGCTAAGCATCTTCATCTGCGAGTTCAATTTATTACGACGATTCATAGTCATTGTTTTCTACTACATACTATAGATATTTGTTTTATTAACCAACAATGGGGGAAGAAAATCTACGTAAGGGTCCTTGGTACGAAGAGGAAGATGAACGGCTCAAAACTTTTGTCACGGTTTTGGGTGCACGGCGATGGGATACAGTGGCTAAGATATCAGGTTAGTGTTTCCTAATGCATCAACTCATCAAGGCATCACTGTAAATAATATTGGTTTTTTTTACTAAATGATATTGGTTCATGTAGTATTATTGAAACTCCTTTGTTGTGAAATTACCACTTTAGAAGTTAGAGGAAGTACTCTTACTATCACCAATTAGGTCTTGTACACTTAAAAAAAACATATATATATATATATATATATATATATATATATATATATATATATATATTAATAAAAATAATTTCAGTTCAGCAAAAATAATAACTTCAACAAAGAAATATAAAACAGAATCAACAAAAATAGTTTCAGTTCAGCAAAAATAATTTCAGCTCAGAAATAAGGTGAAAAGTATATTGAACTTTCTTCTGTATCGGGTTGCCTACCCAAATCTCCTTTATTTTATTTATTTTTAAAAAATCTACAAGCGTTGTTGATATGGATGATTTATATTTCAATGTTTTGCAGGGTTAAGTAGGAGTGGGAAAAGCTGTAGGTTAAGATGGTTGAACTATCTTAGACCTTGTCTAAAGCATGGCTCTATAACTCCACAAGAGGAGTTGCTAATACTTCAGCTACATGAGAGATGGGGTAACAAGTAAGCTTTATGTTTTAAGTATCTATGAAAGTGTGTTCGACAACAATTTTTAGAGTGTCACATGTTTTATGTTTTACCTCCATGCCTACTTATACGAAATTTCATGTAGAATTTTATTAAATTGGTTTAAATTGTTTTGTGATAGATGGGCTAAGATTGCTCGAAGATTACCAGGAAGAACTGACAACGAGGTAAAGAATTACTGGAGAACTCATCTGAGGAAGAAAATGAAAATGCAAATTTCAATTTTGAACCACTCAATCTCATCCCCTACATGTAACGTTTCATCGTCGATAGAAACATCTTCAAGTGAGGAAACAAACAATTATTCCAACCAGTTAGATGTGTTGATCCAAGAAGGCAATATGATCACTCCACAAATAAGTAGTAACAATCCTAACACGAAATCTACCGATGAAAACATTGAAGCCGTAACTAGTCATTATTATGTTGATTGTAATGACAAACTGAAGGGACTAACTGATTGTATGAACACAAACTCGTCCTATGCAAACCGATTATCCGATTTTATGATAGCAAGCTCGCCCTACGAAAACCGGGTATCGGATTGGTTGAACACGGTATTAAGGGATGTGGATCAAACTGATAAATACAATCCAGGTTGTTGCGAGATTAGCTATGGTTTACCAGATTTAAGTTTACATTATCCAACGACGTGGTGTATTGAAGATGCAAGTGCATGGGATTTCCTAGATACCACGTGGGATATGGATTTGTTCAATTAATGTAAATCATCTGTACTTTTATTTATACTAGGGTGACTAACACGCACGATGCGCGCACCATAATTAGTCTTGTTTGGGAGGTTTTCAGTTGTTGGTTACATTAATGAGGAAAAATATATAAACAAATATTTTACGGGTATAATTGTCCGTACATTATTCTAATTAGTTTTTTTTTTTTTTTTTTTTTTTTTTTTTTTTTTTTTTTTTTAAAGAGCAACTAACATTAATGAAGGCAAAAAAAAAAAAAAAAAAGGGGCCCATTAACTTTAATGAAGGCAAAATAACAAGTTGTACATATTAATGACTATAATGACGGTAAACATGTAAATGTACATTTTGAAGGATATAATTGAGAACGCACTATTCATAAGAGTAATTTCATATTTTTTTTTTTTATGAGATAGGGATATTAAAAAACATGTTAAAGAAAGTTTATATATCATGTGACGACACTCTCTTCTCATACAAATTATACAATGTACATGTCAGCTTTTCATTTAAAAAATTCAGCATAGTTAGTACAATGTTTTTAACACGTAATCTATAGAATGAAAAATGAATACATAGCAATCACCATTTATTAGTTCAGGGCCCGTTTGGTTTTATGGAAAACATAATTTCAAGTAAAACCAAATTTACAAATTAGTTTTACTTTGTTTGCTTTCATCAAGAAAAGTTATAGAGAAATTAAAAATAGGGGTAGAAATGTGAGGATGGAAGAGGGAAGGAAAATGTGGCTTCCTTTTAATTTATAAAGGAAAATGTTTTCCACTATACTTCCTCTGTTCCACAAATATTGCAACAAGGATGAAATTACGCATCCCAAAACACGTTTTATATGTTATATATCTATAATTATATAACAGTAAAAATTATAAAAAGTTGATATTGTGAAAGTATTTTACGAGACGAATCTAACAAGACCCCACATGACTATATTTTATATTACGTATAAATCATAATTGTGGTCAAACAAGCATGATGAATAGTGCAAAAGTCCAGTTGTTGCAATATTACTAGAACGCGGGGAAGTATAAGATATAATATTAATTTTCCACCATTGGGAAAATTGTTTTTCACCCCTTCACAAACCAAACAAAGGAAAATGAAAAAAAAAAATAGAAAAATCGTTTTCCATAAAAATATTTTACATCAAACCAAGCGGACCCTACATCATTGTTAATTGGTTAAAAAACAAAAAAAAAAAAGGTTATTATTATATATTTTCTTACAAATTTACTACTCCATAATTAATTATGCCTTTACCACATTTACCGCAATAACAATAAAGTATTTTATACTTTTTTTTTTTTTTTTTTTTTTTTTTTTAAATAGTTATCAAATAGCATGCAATCACTTATCACATCATAATTTGAACATTTTCTCATATACAAAAAATCTGGAAAATAACAATTCGGAACATTGTCTGAAATATACACTAGTTAGAGCTTTAAATAAGTAAAATTGGAATGAATTAGATATATAATGTACCAATTTGTATGGATGAAATCGTTTGAATGCCAAAATTGTCCAACTGGATGAGTCGAGAACACTAAAAAAAATCAAGAGTTTTATTTATTTACTTTTTTTTTATTATTATTTTTATTTTGTAGTTTAGTAGAGTTCTCTTTTCCTCTCTCCCTTTGGAGAAGAATATTGTATATATCAAGGAAATCAAAACATGGAAGGCTATCAATTAGCTTCTAGTAAGAATGATAAAAGAATGGTAAGTTCATAATGGATAGCAATCAAGAGGCAATAAGCTTAGTAAGAAGTTAACCAGGCTTAAATGGGGCAATTGATGCATTAGTTACACAATTTATACCATTGGTTACGCTCCAAAACTATGATACAAAGTATTAAATTAATCAGGATTATTAAACAACGCCTACATTTTATCAGCTACGCACGCATTTTAAACTTAAACGGACAAACATACTCTCGTGTGTATTCCGTGCTTCACCCTACTCATTCTAATATTCTCTCCTCGCAACAAACCGCCACCGACCACCGACCACCATTGGACGAAGAGTATTAAAGTCGTGGTTTTTTTTATTTTATTTTATTTAAATTTTTGGGTGGTGGCCAAATTCCGGGGATTTAGAATTAACCACTACTGTATAAAACAATGACTTATATAGTAGTGTTTGGCGATCCAGGTTTTTGATTTCGATTTGTTATATATTAATGTATGGTGTATAGGATAGAAAATTTTGTCAGAAACTACCACAAAGATGAACAATTACTGTTGTTTTTTTTTTAAAAAAATTTGTAAACAACTATCCCTAAGATGCGAAAACTTTGTCTAGAACAACCCACTAACAGTTTCCGTCCAATAAGGCCCACACTAACGTTTTCCCACCCAATTAACTCCCTTCCCACTTATTTAAATTTGTACAATTAATCTTTTCCTCCCAAACACAACCAAAAATCCAATAGCCCATGATTCGGACAATTGAAGACAAGTACTCATCAAGTCAGGTAACGTTTGAAGTTATTGCTATAAATCGTGGACAATTTTTACGGTTTAGGGTTTTAATTTCATCAATTATCATAACAGGGATTAATTTAATAATGGTTTATGATTTCAATTGAATGAGGGGATTTGAATTTCTAGGGTTGGGGTTTGAATTATATTAGGGATTTTGCATTATTGGGGCTTAGGGTTTGAATTGAATAGGGGTTTTAGGTTATTACTACATTGTACCTCCTAGGTCCTTGTTTTCCTTCAGTATTTTCTGCATTAACTTTTCCAATACCTTTAGCCATTGCATCAATTTGATCCTCTAACATGAAATTACCTAACATAGTAGGAAAGATGAGTAGGAAAGAGAGAGGCAATGTATGAGAGGAAATGAAAGAGTTTTTAATTGCCTTATTTATTGAAAAAGGGAAAGAATTTGGAGTTGTAAGATTCGCTTAGGTCTAAAAAAAGACGGTGAAAGGTTAAAAGCGGAGGAAAAATGGAGGGAAAGTTAATGAAGAAGAAGAGAGGTAGTCGGGAAGGGAGTTAATTAGGTGGGAAAACATTAGTGTGACCCCACAAACGGCTAAAGTGGGAAACTGTTAGTGCGTAGTGCTAGACAAAGTTTTCGCATCTTAGGGGTAGTTGTCAACAATTTTTTTTTTTTTTTTTTTTTTTTTTTTTTTTTTTTTTTACAAGGGGTAGTTGTTCACAAAATTCCCCATCTTTACGGTTAGTTACTGACAAAATATAATTAGATTTAAGGTTAAGGTTTAGTGTTTAGGGTTAGATTAACCTTAACCCTAACTGTAACCTTATACAAATCAAAGGAGTTAAAGTTAGGGTTTAGTGTATAGGCCAGGATATAATCCATCCTTTTGAAAATGTAGGATTTTTTTAACATACGATATCATTGATTTATGTAGTAGTGTTTGGGGATTTAGACATATGATAACCACCTCTAAAAGCACACTACTTAGTACTAACCACCCCTTTGTACGAAATGGTAAAATTCCACCCCTCACTACTAGAAAACAGCCAATCAACGACGGAAAAAATCGCTCGGAAAACCCTGAAATTCCGTTGGAAAGCACCGTCGCATTACAGTTTGTAGGAAATTCGCGATATTCCGAGGGAATTTCCGTCGGAATAGTCCGTTCCGATGGATTTACAACGGATTTAGTTCTGTCGGAGTCAAGTTTGACTTAATTGGGAAGTCCGTCACAAGTTTCCGACGGAACAGTTTCCGTCGGTATGAGTTACCTTCCGACGGAAAATTCCGTCGCAACAAGCCAAGCTTCCGACGGAATTTTCCGTCGGAAGGTTTCGAACCTTCCTACGGAATTTGTATTCGTCGGAAGTTTCCAACGGATTATTCCGTCGGAACGTGGGCAATGTTGCGACAGAATAAAATTCCGTAGGAAGTTTACGATGGAAATGTCCGTCGAGAAGTATTGTGCGTTGCGACGGAAATAAATTCCGTAGGAAAGTTACGACGGAATTTCCGACGGAATTAGACAATGTAATTGTTTTTTTTTTGGCGGGAAATTGCTACCATTTGATACCTATACCTCCTGCACCTAATATCACGACAAAACTAAATTATTGATATTCTTACAAAAATATTTATATATATATACTAATAATTCCGCTGTATACAACCATAAAACGTAATCCAAATTTAGTACATATAAACACTACATAAAATAAAGCTAAGCAACTGCCGAAGTACCCTGCCCTGCTCCGCCACTACCCGGGTCGTCGTCCCTGGGGTCTCGATGAGGAGGTCGCAAGGTGGAACATGTGTCATTAGGGAAACGACTCATCCACTGTTCCCACCTCTCCTGGTTTCTCCTCTCTATGGCTTCCATTTAGGCTTGAAGTGAGGCTTGAAGTCGGGCTTCCATCTCGACTTCCAATTCACTCCGGATTTCACTCCAAAGAGCCTGCACCCTGTTTTCCATCTGATCCTGCATCTGAGAAACAAGGGAGGGCGTGTACTGCTGGGAAGATGTGGAAAGTCGACCCATCTGGCTGCCATAGTAAAGGTCTGCACTTCCGCCAAGTCCCTTCACACGCCCCTTTTTGTTCCGACCACCCACAGTCTCCCAGTACAGCTCATTCAGACTCTTCTGAGTCCTTTGAGTGCTAGCCTGCTCAACCCTCTTTTGGTAGGCCTCCTACAAGATATACATATGAAAAGGAGGAAACGAGTTAGTAAGTTATATAAATAAGCTTTGGGTACAATGAATCAAGTGTGGCATAGGTGACTTCTACTTAGCCCAATTTCTTCATTTCTTAGCAAATGAGCTCTTTTTTTCTCATTCCATATCAATTATACATAGTTTTAGGTTTATAGATGACCAAAAAAAAAACTAAGTAACTAAGTTTTGGGAACCATGTTCATGCTAAATGAACCAAGTGTGGCATAGGTGATGACTTCTATGTTGCTCATTTTCTTCATTTCTTAGCTAATGTTCTCAATTTTCCTCTTAACATGTCAATTTTATATAGTTTTAGGTGTGTAGGGCTTGAAATGATAAAAAAAAAAACAAAGAAACTAAGTTTCGGTACCATATTCATGAAAAATGCACCAAGTATGCCCTAGGTGACTTCTATGTTGCCCATTTTCTTCGTGTCTTAGCAAATGAGCTCCATTTTTTTCATTACATGTCAATTATTAATAGTTTTAGGTGTATAGTGCTTGAAATCACCAAAAAAAAGTAACT